AACGCTGATTGGAGATTTCGAAAATATTAGATCCCCACAGCGGCGGCGGACTGATTTCGAAACTATGGATGCTCCAGGACAAGAACACAAAGAAAAAATTAGCTTCTGCTAGAAAAAAATGTAAATTTTCAAAATCGTGGTTTATTCCATTAGATAATCGTTGTTATAGTACCGAAAGTATTGAAAAGTGATCGTTAAAGAATAATATTTCGACATGAAAACGTTAATGTGAAGAAAATACGTGCGTGTCGAACGAAACTGAAAATTCTGTACAATCTGACATATAGTTTCACTGAAATATCTATAGAATTGCATAAAAATAGAGAGCACTTTTACTTCTATATAAGTCTAAAGAAATCATGTCTTTCTGATGCCGTTCACAAAACGTTTTAAGATTACAAATAATGTCTCATTTTCGTGCAAATGTTTTTTCATTTAAAAATGTGGCTCTGCCTCACAGTAATTGAATGCGTTATAGTTGGATTATGCATGACGGGTCAACGAAGATTAATATATAAATCAATTTGAAATAGTTTTTAAAATCGGTAATACGATCATAAGTGTCTAATAATTTTAAGAAATAATTTGAGAATGATTGAAAACAACAAAAAAATACTGTGTATTGATATAAAATACATCATGAACTCGATTTTTTATTTCATTTTAAAACTAAATGTCTTTACTATTGGCACATCTTCCCAATGAAATTCTTCTTGAGGTTTCTCAAGATTTAAGTCTAAGAATTTTATTTTAGTGTATCTATCTATAATTTAAATTCTCGTTTTAATCATGTTGGAAATATTTTATCAAAACGTTTATATAATCAAAATTGTACATGTGTTATTATTCTAAAATGTTTATCTCAAATTATTTCATTAAAATTATCAGACAGTTTGATAAATCAGGAGTTGATAATGAAGCACTTTTTCTTGTGAATTTTGTCAGAGGTAGCTTAGAAAGTTGGTCATGTTTATCAAATTAAACGTCAAGTATTGTGGCAACGTCACAAGAGATTCAAACGGCTGAAATAATACCCACATAAAACTCCATACTATTTTTAAAAAATATTATTTGTTTTTCTTGTGTTTCATTCGTTCGCTTTGACAAACTAGCTTTTTAAATCTTTGTTAGCGAACCGTTTCACCAACATGTTCGGTAGCGATTCGGTAGAACACACATTCGCTCACGTTGTACTTTAGTTCATGGTAAATCAACGGCAAGGTCTGAATCTCCTACTAATGATCACGTAATTTTTAACACATACCAAGCAGTATTTTTGTCTGTAAATTATTCATTAAATGTAGATGAAGATGTAACGAAAGTACAATGGTTTTTCCTCTCATTCGTCTTCTTTTTGCATCACATATACTCAATCACTCTCTTCCTAGTAACCCTTATAAACTGGTTTCGTAGTTATCTGTCAGGGCGACAAATTATGACAGTTGCTGGTGGTTTTGAGTCTAACTTAACTGTGCTTACCTGTGGAGTGCCATAAGGTTCTATATTAGGATCGCTTTTACTTTTATTATACATTGATGACCTGCCCAATGCTCTTCAATGTACGTGTAAATTATTTGCTGATGATGTTTCATTATATGTAACTGATTCAAACATATAGCAAGCGGCTGCTAGAATGAACACAGATTTGGCAATGATTCATAAATGGTCGTGTGACTGGCTCTTACTTATTAACTTTAGTAAATGTTTCATATATTCCTTACTAATCGTCACAAGCTTGATACTCCTCCATTGTTTATTAGTGACACTAGGCTGCAATTGGTACACTTCCACACATACCTTGGACTCGTTCCTACGTCAGACCTCGACTGGACTTCCCACATTGATATGATCATAGCCAAGTGTTCCAAAGTAATTGGATCTATCGAATTACTTAGTCGAATAGTTTCCCATCAAGCTCTTGCTCTAGTTTACAACTCACTTGTTCTATCTATTCTGCTCTATGCCACAAACAGATTTGGGCATACCTGATGATTTACTGTTTGCTATAGTATTAGTGTTTCGCTCGACACACATGACATCTTCCATCTTCCATTTTATGTTCTTCCTATTTACAGACAGACACCTACTCGACTACATTTTAAATTTCTTTTTAAATTTTATTCATGTTTTTATCTTTTACGTTTTTGATCTTGTCACATCTTTCTCATATGAGAATTGCGGACCTACGATGCCCTTTGGCGATTGGTCTATTAATAAACGCGTTTAAATCAATCACTCTCTGCAGTCATATTTGGTCTCTTTCCTTTTGTGTATAGGTTTAATCACTCTCTCTTTGTCACTTGTACTATATATACATATTGTATAGCACTCATACGACAGTCTATTTTTCGAATAAACTCAGTGAAGCCGTCATTTCCTTTAGAGATATCAAAGGTGAAATGTTGTTTTACTCGATTCCGTATACTAGTCTTAGACATTTTTCTTGCACCAAAGAACAAGTTTTATTTAACTTTTCTTGTCTGATTTTTCTCTTGAAACTTAATTTTGTATACCGTATTCTATTCTATTTGACCTTTCTTCTCGTATCAGTTGTATTCTAGTAAGGTTTTAGTAAGTGGTGCCGAAAAAATTCAAAACTTGACCAGGAATTCTGTCTTCGTTCTTTCTACTATGTTGGCTACAGTTCATCGAGTTACACAAAAAATATTTAATTTTAGATTTTCAAAGGTTATAGGTGAAAAAATTTTAAAATATCGTTTTTTCGAAGAGGCAAAAAAAGCGGGAAATTTTGAAAAATAACTTAAATTCTTTTCTTTATTCTTTTCTTGAAACTTCAGAATAAGAAAAAATAGTTTTGAAGTTTCAATAAGGTTAATTTATGTTTTTTACTTTAACAGTACAATTGCAGCACAAATCGCTAAAATGCATGCTAGCAATCGATAGTTTATTGTTTAACTGGTATAACATCAAATTGAGCATGTTGATGGTGATGTTCTTTATTTGCAAATAGATGTGGTTGAGTTTCTGGAGGATTATCATCTGTCATGCCTGTTGCATTTAACCAACGACCATAACATGATCGAAATGCATATTTCCCATTTTCTAATTGTTTCATTTCCCATAACGAATCATTGTTAACATTATCATCAAAACATCTAACAGTTCCATGATCTTCAGTTGATAAATATTTCTGATGTTTAACAATTTGTAAAGCAACTCTGTTATTATCACATGGTATTATACGCCATTGTATATCATGATGTTTTATATCATCATCGTCTGTTACTAGTAGACCATCTGGATGAGCTGCTATATATCTGCCGTGAAACGCTTTTATATAATATTGATCACTGGGATCAAAATCTTGATCTTTAGTAATGAAAACATCAAAATTAGCTGTGTATTTGAATTCTAAAAGTTTCTATTCTACTTACTACTATAGCTATCATACATTACTTATTACTTTTCAATGATTTCTGAGTGGAGCGACTGTTTTTTTATATGTGTGCACCGTATGGTGGAGAAAAGAAGAAGAAAAAAATTGCTTTTTATTCAAAGTGCATGACATGTTTTATTTTTCTGAAACGAAATTTTACAATTCTGCAGACTGCTTCCTTTAATTACGAAGAAAGAAGAAAAAAAACTGATGCCACATTGATTAGAACGTTCATGTTATGTAGATTTTCCTTTTTTTGATGTGTCAAGAACAAACAAGCTTTTCTTGTTTCGTAGCCACTGTAAAGTAACGCATATACCTTAATTGCACAATTTCTTTTAAAAATCATAGTCAACTGAAAAATGTCATGCCTTTATGCCAAAGAAAACGAATGAAGGGTGTTAAGGTCGATTTTCGCCTCCGTCAACAATTAGTTATATACTAATGTAAAAATGTACAACTTCTAAATTGCAAAGAAATCCTGAGAAGTGTGATAAATTCATTTACGTCACATTTTTCTTTCTAAAAATGCTGAAAAGAAGATAGACTAGCTATTGGATACTACAAAAAGCGCTTTATTTTCCCACAGCTTTTATCCTGAGAACAGTTTTGTTCTAAAAATGAAGCGGAAGTTTTAATTACAAAAAGAAGAATGTGAAGCTGAAGATCCCAATAAAATAAATCAATAGGAGAGTGATGACTTCCATCTTATAAGCAAAGAAAACATTAAAGCTTATTGTTCTGCTTTATCAAGTTTTGCGAGGGACTCCTTTTCACACATTAACTACATCCATGAATGTTTTTGTACAATAAAGGAACGGAAAAAACTTCGTTATGTAATAAAGTTTGTAGAGAAAAACGTTTTCGTTCCAATGCGCTGTTTCCGGGTCAAATATAGGGCTGTGACAGTTACCATTATCGTTACAGTAACTGTAATTGCTGGTCGGTTACTGTTCTTTGTAACGGTAACGTGCAAGCAGTTACCGTACAAGTAACGGTAACTGTTCAGTATATCTTTCAAGAGTCAAATCTCTAAATATCTAGGTATCCAGGGTGAGGGTGAAAGTTCGTAGCCTCACCCTCACCCTGGATACCTATATATTTAGAGATTTGACTCTTGAAAGATATACTGAACAGTTACCATTACTTGTACGGTAACTGCTTATCCGTTACCGTTACCAGGAACGGGAACTGTTTAGAAGTTACCGTTACCGGGTAACTGTCACAGCCCCAGTCAAATAGCAACGTCCGGAACTCTTTTTCAACAGAGTTGTAAGGTACCTGTTAACGAATAGTTCTAGGAACAATTCCATCAGAGAAATGGTATCTACTTTTTAGTCTTCGACTTGTTCATTTATACGTACTAATCAACAGAAAACACCGACACCATGTTAATCTTATGAGTCCTATTGAAATTTTAGAAGATGATCTGTGACATTTGTATTCAGTTAAAATTTTGAGCAAGATGCACTCATTAGAGGCAAAGATCTGAATTTCATCTCGAGTGTTTTTTCAAACAAATTCAATGCATTTAAACATAAAAATAAAAAAAGTTAAAGAAATCCTAGAAAAATCATAATCAAGTTGTTTTAAAACATCTGCATGCGGATCAGAAATAATATTTAACAATCGTCTTTCAAAATGTTCATTTCTTTTACTTTTCGATTTGGACTTTCATTAAACTTTAAAAAATTTGAAAAGTTTTCCAACGACAGGTTTTTTAAGCGAAACACTGTAAAAAGAGTGTTTTGTGTTTGGTTATCAAACTCAATATCAAAACGACCTTATACTTGCACATAATATTCACAAAATTGTCACATTAGCCTTCAAGAAAAAGCGAAATTTTATGATAAAGTTGATATATTTATTCTGCGCTCATTTGAAAAATGACTCTTTGCTTTTTGATTTACAAGTTATCCTACTTACGCTGAGCTATACAATAACGACCTCTATCGGCATAACTTTTTACGCGGACAGTTGAGAACGTCAACTGATGAAATATCGTTCACAGTTAAGAACGTCAACGGCAACACCGTTGTCGTTCTTTTGTCAAATCAATGTCAACGCCCTATACGACTGTAGACGTATCGTATAGCCTATTTACCCATTTCACAGAATACACTTGAACGTTTTTCGCCTCGTAGAAAGTCTAAATCTATTTCTGCACGAAGTGAAAAATGTTCAAGTGTATCCTGTGAAACGGCTAAACAGGGCTATACGGTACGAATATTTGTTTCTATTAGGAACAAAGGCCAAAACCGATCTCCGTTTTGTGAACTACCGGAATTCTGTGTAGAGAGTAGTCAAGTTCGTATTTACTAGTAGAGACTTTACAATGTTACTATATATTGAATAACATTTTTCTTAGAGTGATGTAAATTCTTGTATGCATAAAAATAACGAAATTTGAACGCAAAATTAAGTGACGAACAACTATCAGTTATAAGAGTGTTACTCGACCAACCGGAGACATCATCGAGCGTAAAATTCAATATCGAAACAGAAAGCAACTTACTATAACAGAAGATCATTTGGAATTTCTGCGATCCGAAACTATGAAAAAGAATAGTGATAAAACACTTAGTGAGACAGATTCACATCGACGGTATTTAGACTGGACGTTTATTCTGAGTAGTTTTTTTTGTCAAGAAAATGAACGGTTATTCTGTGTTCGCGTACAAAGATCATAACTGGAATAAAGAAAAACCTCCTAGTAAAGAGCAGTCAATTTATATGATATTTTCCGCTCGCGATTATCGTACCTTAACGGATTACCCGCGTAAATTTAAAGTCACGTGATCATACTTTGAAAAGTGAAGATTACATGAATCTGTGAAAGTGAAGAAATGTTTGAATCTTCTTTTTCCTCTGTCGGCACTGAATTTTATATCACTTGTGCTGGACAAAAGATCTGCAACATAAACATCGATTCTAAAATGGCAGTATTTACAAGTAAGTAATCACTTTTAACGCCTTCCTACCGGTAAGTTTTAGTCTTTTGTGTAATCTATGTTTGTTTTTATACAATAAATTTTTATTTTTTTCTTATAGCATTTGCCGTTTTTAAAAATAAAATCAATGAATCATTCTCAAAACTGACGAGGGAAGGACACCAACTGATAAATCGCTTTTTAGCTCTAGTCCAGCTCACAATAGGTAATCGACTATGCTGATTCCGAATATGAAAACCGTTTGGGCCGCTAGGCCCTCTAAGTCCCGGTTTTT